TTACAGTAAGATGGCCCCCTACTTCTCTTAAAACGCCCTGCACATCAATTCTTTGAGATATATCAACCTACAAAGTTTCATGTTGATATCTCTTATTATTTTAGAGTTATGTCCTGGACAATGTTCAACGTGTAAAAATGAACAAAGGGCATTAACTCAAACATTACGCAAAGCAGAGTAATGATTCTTTTGCACTGCACTTCTACTAAATGAGATTTATATCCCTGCAAAGTTTTATATTTATACCTCTTATAGTTATTTAGTTTTGTCTCGGACAAAGTTCAAAGTATAAAAATGAACAAAGGACAATATATAACTCCAAAATTAGGCAAGACAGAATTATGTTTTTTTGAACTGCAGTTTAACCTAATGAGATATATCTACCTACTGAAATTCATGTTGATATATTTTATAATTTTAGAGTTATGTTCCGGTCAAATTTCAAAGTATACAAATGAACAAAGTGCAATAACTCCAATATTAGGTGAGGCATAGTTTCTGTTCTTCTGCACAGCACATTTATCTAATGAGATCTTTCTACCTAAAACTTTTCATGAAGATTCCTCTTGTTGTTACAGAGTTATGTCCCGGACAAAAAAAAGCAAACGAACGGACAACTGGAAGGACGAACGTACAAGCGGTTTTATGCTCACCCTTCGGGAACATAATAATATTAACAAAATGGCTATTTCTTACTTTAAAATGTTATAATTCAAACAAATACAAATACAAATCAATCTTTTTCATCACTTTCTTACTAAGATACACATTCGAACAAAGACGTATCAATTCTGATGTAGTTATGGACATACGAATTACATTATATTTCTGAATAGATAATTATCACTATCGATACAATTTGAATACTTTTTTATTGTCAGGAAGATTTACACCTTACTTTTATAAAAAAAAACTAAAAAGAAACTATGGATACTCTACTGTTCAATATATAAAATATGTGATGTTCGTGTAGAAAAACATATGAACTTACCATTGTAATGGAAGCACATATGACAAATATAAATTATCATAATATAATAATAACAATAAAAATAATAAAAATAACTTTATTAACGAAGGTAACACGTTAAGACATATAACATCTTATTAACAAAGCGACTGTCTAAAATAAAAAATAAAAACACACACACAAAAGAACACATATCAGTCAAAGAAAATATAACATGTAAAAGAAATGATTAAATGGTTATCACAATTTTAACCTATATCTTAAGACATATACTGAACATTCATACAATTTATTTTATTTATCATTAAACATATTTTTTTCCTCAGTGCATCATTTTAATTTGCAATTTAAAAAGTAACCAGAAATGTGTCCATAGGACACGAGTGCCCCCACCGCGCCACTGTTCTGTCAATCTTTTTACTAAGTCAAGGGAAATAACTCTACAAATACTGGATAAATCCACAAGCGAAACCCCAGGTGCAAATCTAAAATATGCTGAGCAACCTGCCCATAAGGTTTAATGACTATGTCAAATCCTTTTTGAGAAACTTGCGACACAAGTTGAAAATTGCAAAAATTTCTAAGTGAAGGGCAATAACTCTAAAAATACTAAATAAATCCAGACGAAAATACCTGGTGCACAACTGCACATGTTGATCAATATTCCTGTAAAGTAACATGACTCTAGGTCAAATACTTTTTGAGTTACGTGCGACACATGTTGAAAATTGCCAAATTTTACTAAGTCAAGGGCAATAACTCTGAAAATACTAAAAATATCCAGACGAAAATACCTAGATGCACAACTACACATGCTGATCAACATTCCTGTAAAGTTTTTCATGACTGTAGGTCAAATACTTTTTGAGATATGTGCGACACAAGTTGAAAATTGCAAAATTTTACTAAGTCAAGGGCAATAACTCTGAAAATACTAAAAAATATTCAGACGAAAATACCCAGGTGCACAACTACACATGCTGATCAACATTCCTGTAAAGTTTCATGACTCTAAGTCAAATACTTTTTGAGTTACGTGCGACACAAAAGTGAACGGACGAACGGAAGGACGGACGGAAGGACGGACGGACAGACGGACGGACGGACAAGGGTAAATCTAAATGCCCGCCACTAACGTGGGGGCACAAAAATAACTTAATAAATTAACACAGTCAAAAACTTAAAACTAAGACAGACACCCATTATAAGAAAACATAATAATAAAAAACACGTGTATGGATGTAAAGAGCGTATCTTGTATTATATAATGCACACGGAAAGTGCATAAGTTGATTAAAATAGTATTTCTTAAAACTATTCTTAAATATTGACAATTTTGTTTCTCTTCTTATAGTCAGCGGTATGGAATTCCAAATTACAATGGCATTAAATTGGAATGTGTCATTAAAATAATTAGTACGTGGTTTGTAAGACAAAATTAAATTTCCGTGAGATAACGATCTTAGATTATACTTTTGATTATTAGATATGGTAAGTAAGTCTCGGATATATTGAGGGGACATACTATTCAGTGCTTTATATACTTGGACACCGGTGTGAAAAATACATCTTTTCTTGAAAGGCAATATTTTTAATCTTCTGTATAAATTTTCTGATCGTTTTCTCATTGGAAGTAAGTCTCCAATTTTAATTATTTGCATACGATTAGACAGATACGAATTGAACAGTTTTAATGATGTGACAGAAAAGTGATAAAGTTTGAGTTTATATAAAAAGTATTTCATGGTCAACTAAATCAAACGCCTTTTGCAGATCTAAAAATACTGTACATATACATTTGCCACTATCAACATCTTTAAGCCAGGAGTCTATCAAATGAATAAGGGCCGTTATGCATGAATGATTCTTTCGAAATCCTGATTGTTTATTATGTAAAATATTTGTTTCTTGGAAAAAATGCTCTAACTGATTAGCTATGTGACGTTCAAAAATCTTAGATATCTAACTTCTCCACCAATATTTAAATTCGTCGTAAGATAACTGTACTTTTTCGAAAGCATTAGAAATGTTTACAAAATGTTTCTTCAATTCATTTATAATATAAGAATGATCAGTAAATGTAGTATCGCCAAAAGTGAGCCGTTCGGGAATATGTACATTCTCCTTTTTACCCAAATTAGATAAATCATTAATATTTTGCCAAATATATTTTGGATCTTTTCTTTCATTTATTGCATTATTGAAGAAATTCTTTTGTTTTTCTTAATCTCTGAGCTTATTCTATTTCGTTATAATTCATATTCATCGAAATCTTCATTTTTGTGATATTGTGATATTTATCTCTTAAAAATATCATTGCTTTAATTTCATCAGTGAACCATTTAGGCTGTGTATCAAATTTTATTCTCTTTTCTGTAATTGGAGCATGTTTGGAAATAATATCTTTTACTATTGAACAAAAGGTTTGTAAAGCTAAATTTGGATCAACAATACTCGACAGATTCCAGAGAAGATCGAGCTAAATCAGTCTGAAAAGATTGTACATTGAATTCTTGAGTGATCTATACTTCATTATCTTATAAAATTGATTGAGCCTGTTCATGGACGGTACTGGAAAGTACAAGTTACCGTCCACGCCCCCTAGCACCGGCTTAAGCAGAATTCAACATTTAACACGAAAATAGTGAAATTTTGAATTTAGAAACATCCGCAGATGTGTTCTTACGGCGGTTATCATGGAACCTTCAATGTGACACAGTAGTGCCATTCCATGAAAAGCGGCGTATGGTACCTAAGTAAAAGAATGCTTTTGCCCTAAACGAGAAAACAATGGGCGGAACTAAATAAGATGGAATTTTGAGAGGGGATCAGTGGTTATGAAGCCTGCGTACCACAGATAAGACGTCAAAAGACAAATTTAAAAAGCAGGCAACATATCCTTAGGGTGATTCAACATTATTCGAGTAGGAATATTGGAACCACCCAACTTGAAAATGGCCGAATAGAAGAAACTAAAAGTACTATATAACATGTATACACAACAATCTCGTGCTGAACGATCTTCAAGGCTTGCAAATATAACATCATTGATTAATTGTACGGGCAGACTTTTTATAGCCGCCACAAGGCACAAATAACCACGTTTAACCCGTGACGTAACTGTTCTAATGAAACAGACAGGGAAGTGATCACTTATTGATAAATTGGATACAAATATATAACAGACATGTGTATAACTATTCACACTGCCATAAATATGATCAATAATTGTTGCACTAGTTTTAGTTGTTCTTGTTTGGGTTTGAATGAATTGCCTTAGACCAAATTTTGATATTAAATTAGACCATTTTGTATTATTGAACTTATTTCTGGGTTTATCAGGCATTAAATTAATATTAACATCGCTTAGAATGTATTACTCACAATATTTAGAATCAATTTCATCGAGTTGCTGTTCGTATTCATGATTGGCGTACTTTTGGAGGGCGGTATACATAGTATACTAGAAACGTTTTTGTATTAGGGTAGTTTATCTCTATCCAAAGAGATTTTAAATTTTCATTTTCTAGGTCATTACGACGTTTGTAGGGCACTTTCTCACTTATGAAAACTATCAACCCCCCTCCGTTTCTTCCATTTCTATCCTTTCTTTCAAAAACAAAGTTTTCTATTTTCAAATCATTATTATAAATATTTTCATTTAGATATGTTTCACAACTACCAAAGATATCTGGTTTGTTCATTCTTCCTATCTGATTTTATAATTTTATTAATTTCATTTATTGTTTTATTAATCATCCAATATACCACATTTGAATTATTGTCTTATTAAATAGCTGCCAATAATAAAAGAACATAATTAAATATACAATATAAAATGACTTACCTGAACAACACGTAAAACTAATGAAATCTAGTTCCCTCTATTTTAAAGTTCTTCTTTCTATATACGAGATGTAAATGTATACGATACGATGTTTTAGATAAAGAAATGTTTTACAGCATGCAGTAAACCTGTACAAATATTTGTTATCCAAAACTTCAAAAAACAACTAGAGTGTATCATGAATTGTATTACATTTCATGTCTTCCCGGATTAGAAAACCACACAATAATTGGGAATGCACCTGATTTGAAACTATTTATTCAACTTACGCTGCCAAATTGTATCAATTTAAATATCGTGTTAACGCGAATTTTCTTGGGTGAACATGGGATTCGGAGTTTTATTTGGAATAGGTATGTCATTTTTCCTGTCAATGTCCTTTGACATATTCTCTAACGTTGATAAAATGTAAGATTGTTTAATTTACACCCCTCCCTTAAACATATAGCTTCTTTAATCTAACTTGAAATTTCATTTGGTAGAACTTAGCCGAAATTAACACATATATATTAAGGCTCAGCCAATCTCTAAACTGTTGAGTAGACAATATCAGACAAGAATTAGTTAAATTCAAGGTCGTCTCTAGGAACAGTAGGAACATTTAAATCTAACGCTTTATATGTCTTAATATAGTGTAAGAAAACATAAACTGTTTAAAGGAATCGAAAATCGGTACTGTGTATATTTCTGGGTATATAACTGTACAGGGGCAGTTATATATTTTTTCAAACTTGAAGTAATTTCTAAACGTCGAGGAAAGCAAAAATCATCAACTGATTTTCAAACTGAAAAATATTTAAAATATTACTAATTTGTATCTGCCTTCGTGATTATATTCCTGTGCGTTTTAACTAGAACCGTGCTTTTTTCTTTAACAAATTGCGCAAAAACGTTATCCTTTTTCCCGCAATTAGTTTTTGATACAAGACTACCTTAGAATACTACAGATAAAATTTGGTGATCATAAATCGATTAATTCAGAAGAATAAGATGTTTAAAGGAATTTTACTTACTTTTTGCTTTAGAGGCCACACAAATGGGCTAATCAAGTAAATTTGAAAAACATAATGATAACAAACAATCTCCGAATGCTACAGATAAATTTTGATAATTATTCATCAATTAGTTCAGTATAAAAAGATGGGTTTTTTTCTATTTTAAGCTCTGTTGCCCCCTTAAGGGGCCAATTGAAATGATATTAGCAAATTTACTTGTGACTAAAGTAATTTTGTTAAGTAGTTTCAGAGAGAAAGATGAATGTTGACGCATGACGACTGACGCCGGAGCATCCACTTTGATATTAATATCTCACCCTGAATCAGCTTATAACCAAAAAGCTAAATACACTTAATGTATATTTTAGTTTTGGGGCCATGTTATAAAACAGACAGGAATCATTAGATTTTTGAGGTGGAAATGTCGTTTGACGGGTTGGGCTTTCTTTAGGGGTTCTTATTTTCTCTATTTTATCGCCACATCAGCGTTGTTTGTGCCGTGTGGAGGCTGTAAAAAGTTGCCCCGTACATTAAATCAGAGATGTTATATTTTCGATCCTTAAAGATCGTTCAGCACGACATTATTGTTGTGCTTGTGTAATTTAGTTCTTTCTATTTGGCTATTTTCTTATTTGGTGGTTCCAGTATTCCTCACTTGAATACTATTGAATCACCCTTAGAATATGTGGCCTGCTTTTTAAATTTGTCTGTTGACGTCTTATCTGTAATATGAAGGCTTCATAGCCTCTGATCCCCTTTCAAAATTCCATTTTATTTAGTTCCGCCCATTTTTTTTCGTTTAGGGCACATGCATTTTTTTTACTTGGAGACCATATGCTGCTTTTCATGATGGCACTTACGTCTCACATTGAAGGTTACATGATAACCGCCATATGAACACATCTGCGGATGTTTCAAAATTCAAAATTGTACAGGTTCATTTTAAATGTTGAATTCTGCGTAAGCCGGTGCTATGGGGCGTGGACGGTAATTTGCACTTGACAGTACCGCTCATGAACAGGCTTAATCAAACCGAGCCTGCAACATTTTCAATTTTACCGTGTTGGGCTTTCTTTAGGGATTCTGTATTTTTCTATTTTATTTTTATCTTAACTTTGTTTCGAAGAAAATATAAAGATATTGTTACAGTCATAGCATCGTTCCAGTTGCCGTCTACAAACTTAACAGTTGATTATAACTTTTAAGTTCTGGATATAATATTATCTACATACTTGTCCACAACAACCGTTGGAACAAGACTTTCAAGTAGCCTAGACGAAAATAGACCTTTAATCATAAATGTTCTTGAACTTCCATGTCAATGTCTAAATAATGCTTGTTTGTTTTGGTGATTTTTGCTATTTGTGGCTATAACTTTGTTAGTTTTTAATAAATTGTCTTCAATCTAGAACACAATAATATTTTATGATTGACCTTAAAGTTTATACTGAAGTATGATCAGACAGAGCCTTACCTTAAATCATAAACGACCTTGATACGCCGCTTTTTATGGAATGGCACGGAAGTGTCACGTTGAAGGTTCCATGATAACTGACATATGAACACATCTGCAGATGTTATAAATTCAAAATTTTACCATTTCATGTTTAAATGTTGAATTCTGCTTAAGCCAGTGCTAGGGGGCATGGACGGTAGTTTGCACTTTACAGTACCGTCCATGAACAGGCTCAACATTTTCAATTATGTTGGGCTGAACTTTCTTCTTGGATTCTTATTTTCTCTATTTGACCATGAAGATCAACTTGAAATTTTCGTGTTTTAATGTAACTTGTTATAACCTGGTAATTGACGAATGAATTGACTTCATATTAAGTGACAACATCTTTTAGGTCAAAGCTTTGCTGTCTATAAAGTCCAAATAAATGAAATTATTTTGTTTGTTTTTTCTGTAACTATATCATTTATGAATTGAGCAATTTCATTTTTAGACACATCCTTTATTAGGTATGTTCCTTCATGTAAATCAAACTCAAATTAAAAACCTTGAACTTGAAGGTCAATTTATTTAATTTTCGATCATAATTGCTATAATTGGCGTCAACTTGATAAGTAACCAATAACTTTAAATTTGGACAAAAAAACATTTATACAAGGCCTTCTTAAAATTGAACTGACCTCGACCTTGAGCTTGAAATGATTTTGACTGTCAATGTCAAATTATTGTATTTTAGGTACATTGTAATTATTTGTCATTAATGTACGGAATTGATTTATACGTGGACAAAACTAGACTTGTTGCAAAAAAAACATATTGGATAATTTAGATGTGAAGTTGACTTTTAATTGATCGTTATCATCAAGGTCAAATAGATGAATTTTGATTTCCCTACAACTTTGTTACTTGAATCTAGTGCAAAATTTAAGATGTAGGATTAAACTTTCATATCAGTTGACCATACTGTTGACGAGGTGGCCTACTTTGAAATTTGATATCAGCTGATCTAGAGAGTGACCTACTTTTTGTCCTTTGATGGGAATCTCTGAAATTTTGACTATGTGCACAATTTCAGATGTAATTTGGAACTTTCATATAAGCAAACCTAGATAATTTTAAAACATGGTCTTGTCCTTTGATGAATTTTGGACAATGTGCACAGTTTAAATTTAAGATGTAATGAATTTTGATGTTTGATCTATATTTTATTGATTTGACCTATTCTCTCGTCATTTGATGTACAGCTATGAAATTTGAATCATGTGCTCAGTTTGAGATGTAAAATCAACTTATATTTCAGCTGACCTAGATAATTTGAAATTGTGAACTTCTTTCTTTTCCGTTGATGTACATCTATGATATTACGACTGTTTCAACAGTTTAAGATGTAAATTGAAACTTTTGTATCAGCTGACTTACATAACTTGACAACTTGACCCATTTTCTTGTCTGTTTATGTGCAGCTTTACAATTTGAACAATGTGCACAGTTTTATAATTCAAATTAATGATTGAACAGTACAGAAATGATTTATACTAACAGTGTCACTAGACCTACCTATTGAAATTTTAAAAAGGGAATAATCATCTCTCTTTTTTCTTTAATTTTCTTTTTAAATATTTGTTTAAACCTTTTATTTATTTGCTTTTAGAAAGAAAATAAAATGTCGAGCGTTGCCCCCGCCCGGTGTGCCTCTGTTTAAAAGGATAAATATCACACATTTTCTAATTCTTACATAGATCAGCTGGTGTACTTAAATTAGAAAAAAGCGCAAAAGAAAATTGGGAAATATACTACGAAATGAATTGAAAATAATATTTTGTGCTATTCTTAGCCCGGTTTGAGTGAAAAGCGATGACACTCAAAGTTTGGACAATTTTTCACAATTAAGATAATTATTCTGGAAAAACAGATTGAGTGAATGATCTGAAATTTTCCACACAAGTTATTGGTCTAGATCTACATCTATGAACCATTAATGTCGAAAAGACCTTTTCCAGTTCTGTCATGTCAAAAAACATCAGTGGAGTCCCTTTTAATTTTAGATCTGTTGGCTATCATTTTAAGCAGGCCGGAACCATTTAAACAAGTTTTATATAGGACCGCTTAAGGATCATTCCTGCATATATAATTATTTCATCACAATCTCCTTTGGTTGGTTTGGGAGGATTTTTTTTTTATTGTAAGCGCTTGTGGTCATCTTATTCAGCGAACCGGAACTATTCTCATATTATCTATATAAAGGCCACCTTATATTTATCTCTATTTGCCCAGCGGGTTTTCAGAGAAGATGTTGTTTTAATAAATATGTACACGACGGACGATCAACGAAATCGACGGAAGTCAGACTACCTTATACACTCTGTGGTTTAGTGAGCTTAAAAGTTTGGATTACATCTTTATAAATGTCTGAGTTCTTTCTTATGGTAGAGGACTATTTGTTTGTTCATCAGATTTAAAGTTAGTTATAATCGCACTTAAATAAGTGTAGGAAAACATATCATTTGGTGTCAGAACATTCTCCAGCTGTATTTTCTGTGTATAATTAATATGTGCCCCGGAAATGATTTATGATGGGTTTGTTGTGTTTAAAATTTAATGTTTCTTTAAATAGAAACTGAGTTACCAAATTTTCTATAATGTTATGTTCTTAAATAGTTTGCTAAGAAGTGGTTAAAATGATTTTAAATGGAGGGAAAATCTTATTGTCAGGATGACAATCCTCATTGAATGCAAAGGGAATCTAGAAAATATATGTCTCCCAAAACTATGTATGCGGAACATGCCGGCGATATGCACAACCAGGGATGGTAATGATCGCTCATGTGAAATTTCATGGAAATCCCACCAATAGCTTGACTCGTGAAAGCCGGAGAAGAATTTTTCTATTTAGAGCTCTGACGACCATTTTGTGCAGAGAGGAGGAACGTGCTGGCGAAATACACAACTAGGGATGGTAATGATCACTCATGTAAAGTTTAGCTGAAATCGCAACAGTAGTTTGACTGGTGAATGTCTGAGTAGGATGTTCTATTTTTAGCTATGGTGGCCATTTTGTGCAGCAAAGCGGAACGTGCCAGCAATGTGCACAACAAGGGATGGTACTGATCACTCCTGTAAAGTTTGGTTGAAATCCCACTTGTTGTTTGACTTGTGTCATTTCTGAAATGTTTGGTTGAAATCCCATCAGTAGATTGACTTGTGAAGGTCGGACAAGTTTAATGCGGGCGGACGGACAGACAGGCGGCGAGGGCAAAAACAATACGTCTCCCAGAAACTTTGAGAGACATAATCAAACACAAATATTGAATAAGTTTGAAATCAACCAAATTCTAAAAGAACATTTTTTTTTAAAATTTGTCTTTGAAGAGGAGTCCCTTTTTATTGAAATTTTCTGTTGTTCACAGACTGACTTAAACAATTTTTAAATGTAAATATCCAAGTAACCAATTATCCTAGAAATTTTCAAAAGAAAACATGGTATTACTTTTATTTGAATAACCATACTGTTTTATCTCTTGATTTGTCTTTCGGAACGAGTTAATATTTTCCCTAAGATAGCGTTACATTGGGGTGGAGTTTAGATATCGATTTCAAAATAAAGCTGTTTTCAAATCTGTTTGCTGCCCGATGTGAGTCTAAACGTTTTATAAATCAACATTTCAAATCGATAAGATAACAAATGTCGTACAGCGATAATTGAAGATATGACCGATTTTCAGAGCAATACAACACTCGCATTCAGACCGCAATTTAATATTGTATGAATCTTCAGGATACGCTCCACAACAATGTACAATGAATACAGATTGTATATCTGTATATAACGTTGTACGTATTTAAGAAATTGTAGTCCTTACACATCCATATTTGCTTGTACATTTACTTTTGATTGGTGTGTACTTAAAAATCCTACCGTTTGTTGAGCTTTCACATTAGTCTAGAAGAGGCACTCTCGGGATGTGTTGCGTTCATTGTTTAAAAAAAGAACATTGTTGTTTGAAGGTCTTTGTAAACTTTTTGAATTTGTTAAATTCAGTTGTGTTGATCTTAATTTATCAATGGTTGTATTAAGTTGTTTTTGGTTGTTGAATTATATTTTGCTGTTGAGTGATATTTGTTTGGCTTATTATATTTGGTTGATATTGGTTGAGTTGCATTGGGTCATTTTGTCTTGTCAAGATTTTTATATTTTGACTTTGAAAATATCTGTTAATATTTTTCTCTTTTTGTTTAAGTTGTTTGAGATGCTGTGAATTTAATATTTTGTTGAATGTGTGTGGTTCATACTATATCTTAGGAATTGTATGCTAATTCATTTTTGTGTTCTCCAAATTGTGGTCATTTTATTGTCTAGTTTGATCATAGTTTTATCAAGATAATCCATCGTAACCAGTAAAGCATAATCACATGGAAAACAGAAGCGTAACATGCTTCATATGTAAGAGGGAGTGTCATGTGGCCAGAGATTGTCAAGATCAGACTAAAAAATGATATGAAGCAGCTGAAATGGTACATGGCAAGCAAAGTAGTAATTTCTAATAAATATATCGGGATTCTTTAACCACGAAAATGGCGAAATAGCCATAGAGAAAATAGACGTGATGGTAGATCAGATGATTAGATCGGGATTATTTATGTCAATTTCTCTGTCAAATTCTTATGATGGTAGAAGGTTAACGTTAATTAGATTTGAAACAAGGATACGTTGGAAATTGATGGGAAAGCTCTTATCGACAACGAGTCAGGCTTGGGGTAATGATACTGGTAATGATAACGCAGTAGGAATGCATTACTTTCCTTGCGAGTAATGCATAGTTATAATACTGCATGCCGATTTATTACTTGTGATGGTACAGGAAAGCAAAATTCAGGTAATGAAGGTACATTACTATCCTTTACTTTGCATTACTCCACCAAACCTACTACATCATATATGGTATGGATGTTCCAAAGAACACAAGATAGAATTGTGATGGCCTTAATCAGTCAAATAAAATATAATATCATGAAAATTCAATGTCCCATCTCACTTATATGTCTGCACTGATTTATAACATTATTATCAAATGAAGGATAATGCATAATGCATAATACATGTGAACTCTCCAACTTTTAGCAGGAGACTCCCACTTTCTGTAGCCATATTTCAAAGATTGTGTCTTAAAATAAGAGGTATTTTCACAAATTAAAGAAATATTCCTATTTTTTATGTAAGAAATTCTTTCTTTGTTTATTATCTCCCTCTTTTTGAAGTAAAATCCCCCACTTGATCATCGAAAAAAATTCACATGTATTAGCATATATATGTACATTGTTCAGTGTACTAGTAGTTGAAAAATGTTTGAAACAATTGTAGTGTTTTCTGGAATAGGGGGCTGTCACAATAACCATACGTGTTCTTTGGATTTCTGTAGTGCCTTGTCTTCTACTCTATCCTGTTTTGTTTGGACCCGGCTCCTTGCCGCTTGGTCGTGTGGGAATCGAGTGCATAGAACGCTGCCATTCCTTGTTGTTCTGTTTTTCATATTTTATCTGTTGATTTATTGTTTAATCAGTTAATATGAGTTAATATTTTCCCTACAGTGGTGAAGGGTAATTGTCATTTTTCCATGTTTCATTTAAATCTGTTACTGCTCGCAGTTTGTGCCATGTGGAGACTGTAACAAATTACCCGTACATTCGATAAGGGATGTTATATTTCCAATCCTTAAAGATTGTTCAACACGACATTATTGTTGTTTTTTGTGGTATTTTATTTCTTTCCATTCGGCTATTTTATTGTGGACGATAACTTGCACATTCCATTACCGTCCATGAACAGGCTCAATCAAACCGAGCCTACAACATTTTCATTTTTTTTTTTCAGGGATTATATTTTCTCTCTATTTCAATGTAAAACCGCTTGACATTTTAATTGGTCGGTAACACTTAGCAACTTTTCCAGCAGTTTTCTCAGCAATTAACCGATTAAAACTGATGTAAACTTTCACCCATGTGACAGTGGGTGTCTTTGTATGAGAGAGTAACAAATATCTTGGGGAAGTAGTGAGTAAATAATAACATATTTATATAATGAATATTTAGAAATGTCCCTTGCGTTTGAAAAAATATGTAAGTGTGGCAAGATACCGCTTGAAATATCAAATTGTCAAAGACACGTAATCCAAACAGAACATTTATAAACCGATATTAATATTTACATAATAAAACATAAAATGTATTTCCCATGTTCATGTATAAAAAACATTTGTTCAATGTATTTCTCTAATTTGATGTGATTTGATTAATTTACAGCCTTTTTCGATATGTTAACATAAATAACAAAACACAGGCTTTATAACCTCAGATCCCCTTTCAAAATTCCATTTTATTTAGTCCCGCCCATTTTTTTCTCGTTTAGGGCACACACATTCTTTTATTTGGGGATGTCTCTTATTTCGAAATTTCACAATTTATCGTGTTTAAATGTGGAATTGTGCTTAAGCCGGTGCTAGGGGCGTGGACGGTAACTTCCACCACCAGTACCGTCCATGAACAGGCTCAATCAAACCGAGCCTGCAACATTTTCAATTTTGTCGAGTTGGACTTTCTTTAGGGATTCTGTATTTCTCTATTTTAGGTCTGCCATGGACTCCCTGGAGAGCACCTTACACGAACTTCAAATGGAAAAAAGAAGTGAGAACTATTTTAATTATTGATCTGTTTGTGATTGGGCCGTAGCTGTTAACGATCCTGTATGTTGTGATTGAGGTTGTTATCACACTCAAGTGAAATTATATATGTATAGAATTATGCTCATAAGACAATTTTCAAACAGAAGATTATGTTAAATATGTATTGCAAATATTTGTGCACATTATATGTAATCATTAAAATATATGCATTCATTTCTCATTGGAAAAGTTGACTTAGACTTTATAGTAAATAAATTTCTAATTACTTCCCTTTATTAACATAAAATGTAAAATTCGGTAATATCTTTACAGATAATGCTTTTTGGAACTAGCAATATTGATAAATCTTAATTTGAACATCATATTTATGATAAAAAAAATTAAAAAATTTGTTACAGGATTTTTAATGTATTTCTTTCTTTTCAATTTGATTGTAATAACGCATAACATAATCAAATCTTTTTAAGTTTAATATCGTTTTCAATAAGACTATATGTATTTTCCATATTTTAACCCGTCAGCAACTTATATTTTTTTCAGACAGCAGAGAAATTACAAAAGGACATAAACGATATTTTACCAACAGCAGAGACTGGTTTAAAAAAATTCAAAGTTCTTACTATTGGCACTCATGGACATGGGAAGTCTTCCTTAATTAACACATTAGCTTCAATTAGTGTTGGCGAGAAAACTACTGTTTGCAATGCTGCTCCGATGGACGAAAATGTTACCACACATGTCAGTTTATAAATTTTATTTCTAAAATGTTGGCAAAGATATTATCCAATTATCATTATAACTCAGCGTAAAGGTTAGGGTAGTCAACTTTTTTGTTTAAGGTTCTAAAATCTAAAACATATTTGTTATTGAGCGGGTTCCTTGGTGATTATAATATTTATAATAATATCAAGTTATAGAAGTATATCCATCGTATAGAACGAGCAACAGTGTCGCATTTTGTGGTAATAGTATAGCAATTTTAAGATTGACAAGATAAGGAGCTTCATTTTTCGGAACTTTGATTTTTTTAAATTTTGACTTAGTTGCAAGAAGAGAATTCGGAATCAAGGCATTTTTCCCATACTTTATGTGGGCATTTGGCATTAAGCAATTCTTTATCAAGAGTCCGTCACAATTTTCTCCGATTTTGAGTAATAAAATCATGAGACAAGAAAAAGAACCTCGAAAACGTTATTACCTTATGTTAAGAAATATATTATAGTAACAGCAAATTGCTAGACACAACTACTTTCCCGTCCGTCATATGCAATTAAAAAGAATGTAACAACAATAAAGAGACAAGTGTGTTTGGAGCAAATACCAAGCAGCTTTTTGCCAAATTTATTACAATTTATACCATGATTGAGGTTTAAGACCAATTATGCCCAAGAAATGCTTTTAATTTCATTTCACAAAAGCTTTTTGTTTAAAGTGTGCTATTTTACTTCGTAAAAGTTAATCATTGGCCAATAACATATACATTCGACTGTTTATGATCACGTTTGGCAATGTTAACCTAAGATTCATTAATTTTCAGGATGTTTTCATAAATATCGATTTACGCAAATGGTTTTAATGATTATATAGTTCTCGATACTTTGAAAATTAATGTTGCCTGCTGCCAAGCACGGCGGAATGTGACAAGCGTATTTGCAAGTTAGAAGCTTCAAAAAGTTGTTTGCATATTTCATTTCTGTTTTTTTTCCTAACTTTAAGTGCAACTCGAATTAGTAAAGTTTGTGTTACACCTCGAGCGTTTATTTTTTCTTTTGTCATAAATTTGATACATAAGTTTTCTTTGATTTCAAGGCGTAAAGTCATACAACGAAAGGTATGAACGCATAAAAACATAGTTCTGTAAAAGATTAAAAAGAATTATTAAAGAAAAAAATGACATTGATTTTGGTGATTCTAACCTTCAATTTGAAACTGACAGCCTTGCATCTTGTCACTGAGGCTACGAAGTCACTTGTTATGCGTTGTATAATACATTAAAGTGTGGTGCACTTCGGAATCCGATAATTACCAAAGTCATTGAATATTCAAATTCTCAGATTAATATTGCCAGACGATTCATTAAAATATATTTTATTGTTTATTTGATAAAACCGATGAATGAGTCATCGGAGATGAATTGTGGAACTGGAATATGAGTTTATAATCATCTAAGCGGAAAAATTGCCGGTTATTTTTCAAAAAGCTGCATGGAAAAAGTTCACTATGTTGCATGGTGTACACCGGCTTTGATTACAGTCTGGCAACACCGAATCAGACGATTGATCTTTAATTTTGGAATACTATTCCAATTTTGGAATACTATTCCACTCCTCTTTTAAGGCAGCACAATATTCTGCAAGAGTGGTCGGCTGAACAGGGGCAACAAGAAATGGCCATCATACGCATGTCCCATACAAGTTCAAACGATTGATTGTTCGTAGATCTGGCAGAAGCTCGATTGCTTCACATGTAAGGTATTGGGTAGTGAGGCCAGCAATGTGTGTGTGTCAATCTGTGAATCAAAGAGTTTTTACAACATTAAGGAGAGGAATATACATTAAAAGACCTTGTTTGTGCTCATTGTGCTTTTGGCAACAAAAAGGTGAACGCATGTTTTGTCAACAGATGCAATGTTTGCAAATTGTCTTTGATTGAAGCTTTGAAACATTTTGAGCAATTGTGAGCAGCTTGTAGTCCACCCTATTCTGGTCAGCTATCAACATGTAGCAGAAAATTTTTGCACTTTAAAAATACGCCTCAAAATTAAATGCATCCGCGATAGCGTTGAGCCAACAGTTTTTGCAATATCGCGAAAGGATTGTGAAACTACCATCACTCTCAGTTATTTTCTTGACATTTGAGACATTTGTAATATCATTGCATCTTTGTGTCAGACAGACTTTTCTTTCTTCAAATTCGAACAATACACTATCAGATCCATAAACTTTTCCCAATTCAGTAACAGAATCACCGAGTTTTGTTCTTATATATACGCTCTTATTTCTTTTTTATTCTCAACCCATTTAAAAACAATTATTGTGCTAATGTGGTTTTCTACAGGCTCTTCTTATACTACAATTAGTTTTAAAGTTTAAAAACTGCTTTAAGCTTACGGCTCGTGTTTAAACACGCATATCAACATCGATGGAATCACGCTGTGGTACAAAGAATAGAAAAACGGTCTATGCAATACATATCGTGCAATCCTCGTACTACAACATTGTCTTTTTTTTCTTTGTTGTTGTTGTTGTTGTTTTTTGTCTGGCAATTTACTGTCAAAATTCTTCTCAATACTGGAAACGAAAGTTCGGCGTGTTTTTTATACCCAAACTAAAGGCGGCATTAAAATAAAGATTTGCTCTTGTCCATGCGTGCGTGCGTTTTCATATTGCGTCGCATGTAGCAGTAGAAGTGCTTAAGCTAGCGTCAGAAAATTTACAGGAGTGTTGATCAGCATGTAAATTTGTGTCCAGGACTTTTACATGCGGATTAATTCAGTTTGTAAGTTTTTGCCATTGACTTAGTCAAAATTTGAAATTTTCCGTTTGTGTCGCACAGAGCTCAAAAAGTATTTGATCTACAATCGTGAAATTTTACAGGAATGTGTGTCAGCATTTGAAGTATTGTACCTGGTGTTTGCTTGTGGAGTTATTCAGTATATGTAGAGTTAATGCCCTTGCTTTGTTAAAATATTGCAATTTTAAACTTGTGTCATGCGTAGCCACAAACTATTTTATCCAGAGTCATTAAAACTTTACAGGGGTATTTATCAGTATGTGTAGTTGCGCACCTGAGGATTTCACGTGTGGATTAATTTAGCATGGAGGGGTGTTCATCTGTGTTTTTTTTTTTTATTTTCTTTTAAGCACACTTGACGATATATAATTGAGATTTGAAGTTATTAATATTGGGAAAAATCAAACTGACAACACTGGAAAAATTGGATGTCGTTGTCATGCCCTTACTTCTTAGGGGTGAGGGGAGTCATGTCGAATTTTCTTTGTTATGTCCCTCTGTCATACTGTCCTCCTGTACGTCAGTAGACTGAGTTTGTGGGAATCCTAATTCTGTAGATACATGTCTAGTTTTTGGGGTTTTTTTATTTTTTGAGAAGTGTGACAGTCTCTCTATTTGATCTTTCAAAGGGTAAAATCTGCACATATTTAAGCCGATATAGAGATGAGTCTAAAATACATTATCAGAAGCCGGATCAATTTTTGAGGAATAAACTTCTTGACATGTGCCGGAATAACAATTACCTACCTTTCAAGCCGTGAAAAGTCCCCCATCATGAACTTCTATACTATTACCACAAAGCTCGAAACTGAATTTCGTTCCCTTCAATGAAATGAGAGAAAATATATATTGCACCGATCTGAGTATTTTCGTTTGAAGTATGTTTCCTTTCATTTAATTATTATAACTACTTAAGCAACATTTTGCCTTTCAAAGTGAAAATGTTATGTTAAAGTCAAAATATGTTATTATTTTGTCATATTTGTTTCCAATTTCGGATTCTAGTTTTAATGAATATACAAGATCCCAAGTGACACAAAAAATAATTTGTAAATATCCTTCAAATTGTTTTGCTAACGCTTAGTTGGAAAAAAGTAGAAGAGGCTTTAAATTTGTCTAGCTGTTTGAATTTCTATCCTCAACATGTCAAGGTGCAAATCATTGTTCAATCCCAATAAAAACACTTAATGTTTTGAAATATATAAATTATTTAGTTCAGCTCAACTCTATGCTCGTATTGATTTGGCACAATTAATATTCTTCGTAGTAGCTGTTTATGTTGTTAATTGTTGTGCTTGTTTTTGTTTGTTCAGAGAGACTTGCGATTATCGAATGTGCAATGATAACATTCATACTTTTTACATTTACTTGCCGTAAAAGGATGGTTTACATTCCAGTTTGATTTTTCAGTACAGAACATTTGACTTCCTAGGACATTTGGGAAATTGTGTTTTAGGGGATATTTGTGGGCCACTACCGACAGCAAAAGATATTCAGCCGATGCTAGATGATATCAAAGCTATTCTTAAAGGAAATATTAAAAGCGGATATAAGGTAGGTCCATATTTTGTAAAAAAATAATTGTGTGATCAGTTGACCGTTTGATTAGATAATGCCCTCTCACGTGAAATGTTTACCTTAATTGTTACCTAAAGGTATGGTTTAGGCTAATTCTTGATTGTTGTCTCTCGATTGAAAACCCACCTTTAAATATGTGTCTGAAAACTGTAAAACTGTTTATTGGTCACATGTCTCAACGATTGTACTTTTTCCTTAACCAAGTCATTTTGACTTAACAGTGACTTGATTTATTTCTTAAACTTTACTAAACAACAAATGTTATGGTGAGAATATTTGGCAGTAATTTAATAAATCAATTTCATGTTTACTAAATTTGATTGAAGGACAATTGTTACTTTGATTACTGCTTTGCATTACCTTGATAATGGAAGAGGAAGACCCCTTGTGTCAAAGATTTTTTCAAATTTTCACAAATTCATTTATGTGTTCAAGTTTAGACTCAGTATCATAAAGACAACTGATCGGCAACGCCTTCTCTTTGACAGTCTTAGCGGGGACGGTGGCATATTTCTTCTCCCTTCATCAAGACCTCAAGCTCTTTATTTCAACTGTTGAGCTGATATTCCTACATGCAACTCATTCCAAATGTGCTTATTATGCCCCCACTTCGAAGAAGAGGGGGTATATTGCTTTGCACTTGTCGGTCCGTCGGTCCGTAGACCAAATGGTTTCCGAGTGATAACTAAAGAACCCTTAGGCCTAGGAACTTCAAACTTGGTATGGTGATTGGTCATGACCAGTTGATGGCCCCTATTGATTTTGGGGTCAAAGGGTGAAAGGTGAAGGTCACATTGACCTTGTAAGTAAAAACGGTTTCCGACGAATAACTAAAGAACGCTTAGGCCTAGGAACTTAAAACTTGATATGGTGATTGGTCATGACCAGCAGATAACCCCTATTGATTTTGGGGTCAAAGGTCAAGGTCACATTGACCTTGTAGGTAAAAACGGTTTCCGATCAATAACTAAAGAACCCTTAGGCCTAGGAAATTCAAACTTGTTATGGTGATTGGTCATGACCAGCAGATGACCCCTATTGATTTTGGGATCAAGGGGTCAAAGGTCAAGGTCACATTGACCTTTAAGGTAAAAACCGTTTCCGATCAATGACTAAAGAATGCTTAGGCCTAGGTTCTTCACACCTGGTATGATGATTGGTCATGACCAACAGATGACCCCTATTGATTTTGGGGTCAAAGGTCAAGGTCACATTGACCTTGTAGGTTAAAACGGTTTCCGATCCATTACTAAAGAACCCTTAGGCCAAGGAACTTCAAACTTGGTATGATGATTGGTCATGACCAGCAGATGCCCCTTATTGATTTTGGGGTCAAGGGGTCAAAGGTCAAGGTCACATTAACCTTATGTGACCTTCTAGGTAAAAACGGTTTCCGATCAATAACTAAAGAACCCTTAGGCCTAGGAACTTCAAACTTGGTATGATGATTGGTCATGACCAGTAGATGACCCCTATTGATTTTGGGGTCAAGGGGTCAATGTCATAGTGACCTTGTACTTAATGACCGTTTCTGACCAATAACTCAACAACTCAAGTTGCCTTGGTTGATATTTTTATGTGCTTTTGGTATACACATTTGAAGGTCTTATGTAATATAACAATTTGGCTGTCATTAATGACGCCTATGTGAGTCATAAAATTTATGTATATATTATTTGGTAAGATTTTTAATAACTTTAATTGCTGCACACAACCTATGGGGTCACAATAATTATTACCTTGTGACTAGTCATGACCAGTAGATACTAGATAACCCTTATTAATTGCTTGTTCACTGGGTCAGAAGTCATGCATAATAGGGGCATACATGTTTTACAAACATATCTTGTTTTGATCAAGGTTGGGTGATAGAGCTTGCCAGACAAGGCGTTCAATATTCTCCCTGTCCTGATAGTCCTGGACCACCCAGGTCTTGTTCGACGTACACAATCGTCAATGATGTACGACTGACTAGTCAATGTACCTCAATGTAGCACAACGAGGTCAGTCCGACCGTCTTAACTGCCACCCAAGACATAACTGACTGTGAAAAATTTGACCTTTGAAGAACCATAAATAATGTAATATCGTAGTATAAGAACAATTATACGAGGGGTGTTCAATATATTCGTAGACTAATGTCCTCTTTTTTTTCAGAATCAAATTTTTTATTAAAATTGCATTGATTGATAGCGTTGTTGTTCCTTTTAAAACAATGAAAAATTTAATTTTGGTAATTACGCAACTTTAAGACTGACAGCAATTTTCATAATCATGGTAATGCGCCAGCGTCCGAATTTTTGTAGTGAACTTAATATCAAGCGTGTAAATATACTACTTTCTAACTAAGATAAACACTTAAAAATCGTGGAAAGTAATGTATGACGTTATGACGAAGAAACCTAAAATTAATACAGAATTGACGTTAGAAATGTTGTCACAAGAAAAGCTGGAAACCAGGACAATCATTAATTTTTGCAATTATCTTGGAAAAACACCGACTGACACTTATAAAATGCAGCAAAAAAGTTGCGGGAAGACATCTGTTAGCCGTGCGCTTATTTCTAAATGGCATAAAATTTCTCTGAAGGTCCAGACACTATTCAGGACGACACAAGAATAGGGAAGTTGCACATTAATGAAACACACAGCGTTAATTAAGGCTGCTTTAGAATTCTGGGTCGCTGACAGTCGGTGTCATTGTCTTATGTACCGTCAAATACAGACAGTTTGTCATAAGCGGTAAAGTTCATGTACAAGTGTATTAAATTGCCGTTTCCGGTCATGTAATTTTTATGAATTATGTCTTCCTGACAAATAAATGTAAGCACTGTCAACGAATATATTGAACGCCCCTTTTATATCTCTGTTCCTACAAATAAGCAGAACACGCGGGGTGCAAACAGTAAGTGTCTGATCAAAGGATTTTGTAAATACTTGCCACAAATAGTTACTATAATAAGACGATGTGTCACGCGCAACACATGCATCCCTACCTCCAAGTTCAAAGTCACACGTAGAGGTCAAAAATTAACATAGTCTGTTTTAGGCTATATTTTGTGTCCGATCTAGAACTTCTTCGGGATTTTGAAATAACTTGGCACTAATAGACGATATGTGAAGTACAGCACCTGCACCCCTACCGCCAAGGTCAAGGTCACACTTAGAGGTCAACGGTTAACAGCGTCTGTTTTATGGTATATTTTGTGTCCCGTCCATAACTTCTTCATAGATCAAGGGATTTTAAAAACAATTGGCACAAATAGTCACAATGATAAGATAATATGTCATGCGTAACACCTGTGTCCCTACCTCCAAGGTCAAGGTCACACTTAGAGGTAAAAGATTTACATAGTCTGTTAAAGGGTATATTTTGTGACCTGTCCATAACTTTTCCATATATCAAGGGATTTTAAAAATACAATGTACTTTGCACAAATAATCACAATAATAAGACGACAGGCGAGAGGCGTAAAACATGGGTCCCTACCTCCAAGGTCACACTAAGAGGTCAAAGATAAACAAAGTATGTTATAGGGTATATTTTGTGTCCGATATATAACTTCTTCATAGTTCAAGGCATTTTGAAAATACTTGGCACAAATAGTGTTTCATTTTATTTCTTTAATAAATTTATTGTTGCATTTGCAGATCTAGCATTGATCATTAATTTGGATTGCAAGTCCTGAGATCTATACCTGAATCTTCTGAAATAGCTCAATTTTAGGTTTCATATAAAACTTCCCTGAGGCGGGGGACGTGGGTAACTCTGTTACAAATTCTTGTTAAATCATTTTATAACTTCCATAATATACTCGTAAGAAGAAGTTTTGCTTAGAAAAAGTTGAGTAGAACATTTATTATTTTGTCGCGTAAACTATCTATATCAAAAATATCAGGGTAAAAATGATATTTAAAAAGGTTTCAAATCTGTCTTTCATAAATTGCAGTTTGATCCAAAGAAAAGTATTTCTGAACAAGACGATTATTTTAAAGAATCTCCCAAATTTTCGGACAGGACGCATTGTGTTATAATTGTCATCGACAGTTTACAGGCGTACGAACTACCACCAAGCTATGTACTTAACATGGAAAAGATCATGAAAACCATAAATGAATTGAGTATATATCATACTGAAAATAGTTTAGATGATTAACGACGGTGAACCATTAAAGAAACATTGCATTTAATTGCTTATGAACACCCTTGTTAGTTTTACATACTTTATTATAGGCAATGATGGAAAGCGTGAAAAAAATTTAAAAAAAAACATCATTTTATATTTTGCCCTTAACAATGCTATGAATGATAAAAAAAAACATATCTGATATCAAGCTGCTTTCTGCAGCAATAAAAACAATCATTTTAAATTTGCTGAAAATCATGTGGTAAATTATTTCATCAAGCTAGTTATCGAGTGAAATGATCTGATGAAAAATCTACTTGTTTTTGTGCTTTATTTTCCAGATATCCCTGTAATAGCTGTTCTCACAAAGGCAGACCTGCTCTCAGAACATGTTGAATATAGTATTGCTTCAATTTTCCGTTGTAGGAAAATTCAAAAGTCTGTTGACGACACAGCAAAGCAGCTAAAACTTCCTGCTCCAAAGGTGTTTCCACTTGTCAATTTTGAAGCAATGGATAGCTTTACCTGGAAAGAATCGATTCCCGTATTGATTACCTTGAAGTCTTTCCTACGTATGGCTCAACAACATTCCCGTAATGCCGATGAGGTGAAGAAGGAATAACTCTAAAATATATGAGTTGATAATCGCAAAGTTTTGAGTTTTTGCCTAACAATACACATATAATGTAACACTTACTTTGATCATAAATTTTATGTAAGTTAACCAGTTATCAAAAGTAATGTACTTCTAACCCACGGTGAAAATTTATATGTCTTATTAATGTATGTGTGCGTGTTGGTGTGTGTGTGCGTGCGTGTGGCATTCTAAGATATAAAAGGTAGACAATCATATTGTCTTCAATTACCAGTTAAAGTTGCATTATGCTCATCCAAGGGTATTGGTAAGTGATCAAGTGAAAATCAAAATAAGTCTATATTTTGCCATTATTCCTTTTACTTTATAACTTACTAAGCATAAACATTAAATAACTCATATGGCCCTATGAAATTTCAGTAAATATCCATACAAATGTACCAGTAAGGTTCAATTTGTAGTCTTTTATATTTAAGGCAAACTTCTATTTTATCCATAAAATTTTCTAATATCAGCTTTTGGGCAATCACCATTATAACAGCGAATCTTTTGAGATATATATATATATATACAGTAAAGACTGTCTTAGCGACCCCCTGTATATAGCGACGTTCTGTCTATAGTGACCATAGTTAGGTGCGCCGAACAGTATTTACTATATAAATGGTCTGTATGTAGCGACTCCCTGTCTAGTCTGTACAACGACCATGATTTAGTCACCCGTTACGGTATTTGAGCCGTGAACAGCGACTTTTGCAAGGGGAGCATGGCTTGAACTAGGTGACGACTTTGGCGAAGAAGTCGCCTTCGGATCAGCGACTTTGCTTCAGTCGCCCGATTTTTATAATTTTCCGTCATACTTATTTACGCCGCTAGGTCTGTTAATAATTTGTTTACTTCTCAATTACAACCAATTACCGTTAATCCGCTAATTAATAACGCGTGTCAACATCAACAAAGTTCAATACACGCCGCAAGGCAAGAGTTCACTATGTTTATCTCATTACGTATTCATGATTGACGAATCAGAACGCGCGTTGTATCTACGGCAGTTTGCATTGACCAATCGGCGACACGCTAATACACTGTGGCTGTTTGTTGACAATTACACAATATGGCGACAAATTCAATCAATTTTCGCCGATAAAATGATTAAAGACACATGCATATACATAATTGCTGCGGTGTTTTGGCGAGTAAAGATAAACAATGCCAAACGTCTTAAAGGTGTGGTTATGTTTGAAACCTCGATAGTTAATTTTTTTCGGAGCACTTATCTAGAAATTATGTGGAGATTTGTATCTAATGTTTTATTAATACATTGAACTCCGTAAAGTAAACAGGTTGATTATACAAAATTAGATGTCTCTACAGTAACATCTCATTAGTAAAATTGAAATTAAACATTTTTTTACAAACAGATTTATCAATATAAATTACATTTTAATGAATATGTAACTTTTAGATACTAATGTTATGGTGTAGTTTATAATCTTAACCAATTATACATGCAATTTTAACTTAAACCCTTAGTATGATACTATCCTGCTTTTGAACAAATTATTGGTATGATATGTTCATATATCCGAATTATATAGAGACTGTCCACAGTGACTCCCTGTCTATAATGACCTTTTTTCTTTTCTCCCATCGAAGGTCACTGTAAACAGTCTTTACTGTATATATATATATATATATATATATATATATATATATATATATATATATATATATATATATATATATATATATATATATATATATATATATATATATATATATATATATATATATATATATATATATATAGTCTATTCAGTTCAAATTGACAATGAAAATATGAGCATAATGTCATTTTAAGTTAAATTTATTGCTTTGCTTTTAGCAGGAGAAAATCTAACAATTTAATATGAACCTGTATGTAACCAATTTTTATCAGTGTTAATCAGTCCATTTTACGTTGTAAACATGTATATACAATATATAGCCAGAAGAAAACATACAATAGATAAGGAAGAAAATATCATATAAAGCAATAGAAAACAAACTCTTAATAAAACGTAGAGTTTGCAAGTATATTAGTATAAGATACGTTGATCCAGGGCTTCCTTGATATTCAAAGCTAATTTGTATTAACAATTATTTATTTTTGATCGGTCGAATTGGTTAAGGCTTTTTAGGCCGAAGGCCGATCTAAAATCAGTTTGACTTCAAGTAAAATTCCTGTAAAATTTACAGGGAAGAAGTGAATATAAGAAGAGTTATCTTTGGTCATATTAAAATTACAAAATGAAATCTTGGAATCTCATTGGCCATTCTTGAAAACAATGTAAAGATTGTTATTGCTATCTGAGAAAGTTCTAAAATAAAATGTAAAGGATAGTTCTTATATGAATTTTTTTAGTTAAATTCGTCAGATATTCAAGTTCTGATTTCTACTATTTCCTCCCACCACAAATCCATAAATTAATTTTATATTCAGTAATCATGGTTTGTTTACTTGTATTGTATTATTTTTCTTAAATAAACGGGTCTTAAACGTGGTTCCAAAAAAAAAAAATATATATAAATACTTTGACATCAGCTTAGATTGGAATTCATAATTACATATATGTGGTCGTCCTATGAAATAAATGCACCCTGCATAATTTCAATTTTGTTTAAAAGTAAAATCAATAAAATTATACCGCTTTTTAAAAAAAAATTATATTCAGATCTCAAGAAGAATCGTAAGAACTAATTGAGTTTATTTTACGCCGGATCTCAGTTTTATTTTTTTCCAAAATAACGATAATAATATCAAAACTTAAAAAAACAGGTACCCTAGGTTTATGATGTTCAATTAGTGTCTAATATATTATTTGATATTTGATGTGTTCAATGGAGATAATGTTTATAGTTTTCATATATTTTTGCACATTAATCAAGTATTTAAAAAATATAATTGCCTAACGACTGCGTAGATGTTGGTGTTCACTTACTGAAACAAACACGACAGGATCGTTTAGATAAATATACATCTTAAAGTGTTCCATTTTTCAAGATATATGACCCTACAATAAATTATTATTTCATTGTTATGCAAGTTGTGCTTACATTTCTACATGATTTCGCATGGAAAAAGTGCAAGTTTACAAGTAATTACTTCGGCCGAGTATTTTTAAAGATACTTCTTGTTTATAGTTGGCCATGATCATTGACGTAAATAGTATTGTCTTATTTCAGAAAATATTAGATAGTTTAAAACAAAATGTCATTCTAACTTAACAATTACTATATATATTTTACATCTTTTTTTTTATTAATGTACATTTTCAATACCTGACAGGGACATACCTTGGCTTATTTTGAGTGTACGCCGAGTGAAGGTCTTTGGCCGAAGGGTTGCAAGAGACTTATATACATATATCAAATATGTATTTGTGCTATAACTATGGATTTAGGGGATATCTAAGTTAATTGTACAATTATGTTATGAAAATAACATCAAGTACATATATTGAATGTAAAAGAAATTGCACGAAGTCTAACGTATACACTGTTTTAAATAGTTTAAAAGTTATTTACTACATATATTAGGAAAACAAAACATAGCCGGGTGTCTCTATTGTAATAAAGATGGGTTTGGTTTCCTTTTGTAACATTTTTTCGTATTATTTTCTTTTGTTTCACCATAACCTAACATAAGATATAATCTAGGAAAATATGCTTTAAAATGATCTGTATGACCTTAAATGTTTTAGTGTAACAAAAAGTTATCGTATTCGCAGACAAAATGTTTTATCGCACGATTATTTAGCTTCCTTAAAATATTTTTAAATGCTTATTATGTCAAATTTGTAGACAATAAATATTGTCTTTAACATTTTTTTGTTTTCAACTCTACTCTTTCAAATTCTATTCGAAATATTTAAGTTATTTCATTACGCAGTTAAATGTCTCACGCACATAAAGGCATGTTGGTATAAACAGGTTCGCCAACTCGTTATCTAAAATAAATCGAAAATAAAAGAACTTAGTCATGATGTGTCTTATGTGGTTTAACATTGTTCTTGTTGTATATTTGTCTATGTTTTAAATATATATAGATGAGACTACGTATATTGAAAAAGAATATATATATAGTTGCATAAAAGATCTTTATTTTGCATAATTATAACTCTAGATGTAAAAAATGGAATGAATGTTTAGTTTTCACTGATTTTGATTCTTCTGAAAAAAAAATTATTTTAATATATTGGACAATTTCTTAACATTATTTGACTTGTGACGAGGTTTATAAGCATTATAACATTGATTTTTTAAAGCTTAACTCAATCTAAAAAAATAATGAGATTATCCCAAAGAAATTGTTTATTTCATATTTTTACATTGTGTACGTCACTCCGTGCTTCTGTGAAAAGGCCGAATATTTTTGTTTTCTGACTTTAAAAGTCTCATCTTTCGCATAAGGTGGTATAAACTGAAATTTTAAAGATAATTCAAACCATACCTCCTTTAAAACATTTATTTCTCGGATTCAAGACTTACACAACAATATAATACTTCTCTCTAAAATAGCTTCCCTTTTCTATACCCAAGCAATGTATTTATTTAAATTTTTCACAATATGCTCATGAGGGAAAGGGTTAATACACATTATTGTTAAATACAATTCGAAGAATTATTTTGTAATAATAATTGTAAAGTTTTATGTTGTTGTTGTTGTTGATTTTTTTTCTTTTTGTTTTTGTTTTGTTTTTGTTTGTTGTTTTTTTTAGGTTTTTTATTTTTCATTGGTACTGTTACTTGTGATCCTGTAGTGTTAATGTGTTATATCCGTCACGGTTTCTTAGTATTGAACATTTACTTGTGTATTTCAAAATATTATTTGCCTTAACAAAATAATGACTTTGTTCTGGTAATTTGAAATATAACATGTATTTGTTCTAAAAACAGAGAATTATGTTTAAGAATAAAAGTAACAGAAATATGACAAGATGAGTGAATTCTACATTGATACTGATATTTCCCCATCTTCCTACATCGACGAGGAAACTTTCATAAAAATACCTATTGTGTTCAGACGAATATATGCAATATTCAAATTACCAACTACCTTCTAATAGTTGGGTTTTCGCGCGAATAACCAACTGAATCCTCTGGTCGACGTAGGGAGACGGGATGTTGTTATGTTGAAGAACACATCTATCTTGTTATATATCCGTTATATTTATTCCGGTAAAGTACTTTCTGTTATGAGAGGAAAACATGTTAAGTTCGAATTACCAACTACCTTATGGTAGATAGTTGGGGATTCGCGTGAATAACCAACTAGGACCCGTCCTTTATTCTGTGTTTTATAATGTTTGGTGTGTTTGAAAATTTAAGCTAGTTATAGTGGATCGAATTACCAACTACCAGCTGTTGAATATAGTTGGGAATTACGAAAAACCAACTACCAGCTAGTAGGTAGTTGATTTTTCGAAAGTCCAACTACCAACTACCTACCGAATTGACGTTCATATCTTACGCGTATTAATACGCATTATGATACATATTTTAGAAGAAATATGCTACCCATGTTTACATCAAAGATGAGCTTGTCAATTCATTATATAATAAAATAGAAAAGCTACATTCCGCAACTTCCATAAGATTTTATCGCTATTCATTTTTAAAACGGATGCCCGTCAAACAAAATAAAAACAAAAAACACAATTTTATTTTCCGTATTCAAAACAATCATGCATCAGATAACAGCGATCTTGCGCAATGGAGAAAAAGATTTCAACAAGCTTGAATAATTTTATTGTGAAGTAAGTAATAAATCAATCATGACATGCAATTGTATTATGGGCTGGATACAATATCCCAAACAACCTAATAGAGGCGGCTAGGGGGATATTTAATTAACGTTCTCAACCTGCTAATGTATTTACGAAATCTAGTTTAGTGGGATATTGCCTTCCGTATCCTCGGTTGTGTTAACCTGATTTTTTTATCATGGCAAAGATTAGATAATGCAAGAAAACCAAATAGCTTGTAACGAACTGAAGTCGAGCGAACTTTGCAAACACTTACAAAGTGTTTGATAACTAAAGAAGATCCAATATTGTGTTGCAAGCGTATATTTTTTCCCGTAGACTGGCGCATATCCCAAATTATTTGGTGTATAAATGATAAAGTTAAGGCTATTTTCCTTTTCGAATCAAGCAATGTTTATCTTAGAAATGATGCCCTATCACGGTCACGTGGTATTTCTACACGGCATATTTCATGCTAAAGCTAAATATCCATGTAAATATCTATGTACTTGAAGACCACAGACACAGATTATCTGATTATACTCGATTTTTATGGTTAGAGACTTTTTCTCATAATGTAAGGCTATGGGACAATCAATAGGATAGTTTGACCTCCTGAAAATTCTCAATGATATAATGAAACTTATCAAGAAATATCTTTTGTTCAGTCAGTGATCCTCTTTAATTAAGCGACGTAGAAATATTAAAGGTGTTTCTAGTCGAAATTTACTCCTGGAAATATAGGTAGGCTAGCTTTTTTAATGATTTGTTAAATATCAACATTACGTAACTTTATGATGTTTCTTACTATAATCTGCTTAATCTAATATAGTTTAAATCGTCACTGTAAATTAAAACAATTGCAATATCATTTACAAAATAAAAATAAGAAATAATCATA